TGTAAAATGTTAAATGAGAGAGGTGAGTCTAGCCACTCAGTAACCAAGGTAAACCTACCTTATGCAGTTATATTTCAATTGAAATAAAATACAAGAGTATGAAAATAGATTTTTATAAAACATGCCATAACACTTAGTTCACATGTATCACAACACATCCTTTCTCAATCAATTTACTTTCATTTTATCACTTGGTACATAGTCACAAGACACTCAGATATATGACTATAACCCAATATATTAACACAACTTACCACAACTCAATGGTGTGACACGTCATATAATCATACATGTAATGATCAACCATCCTTATACCCTCCTTATTACCTTCAATTGAAACTGTGGACTATAACATTGAATATGGCTCTATTCGTCTGACTGGATTACCTAAGCTCATCAATTATGAGGTGTGACCCGACTAAAGATCACATGACTTACTCTCGAACCACAGTTTCCCCCACTCTCAAATCTCTGGAGTGCCGTATACCCTAGAGTAACCTCCTCGAAAAACTAGTAGAGATAGTTAGGTTCTAGTCCTTTGACAAACTATGGGACAATCTCTTAACAAACTGTGGGATAAGGCTATACCTTCATATATCGAAAGGTAGCCTAAAATACTATATAGATTTTAACTATTCTCATTCCCTAAGCAAACTCCCGCCTACTGATAATGCCATGTACGATGCTCACGCACTATTTAAAATCTCAGTTATTCAATATTAGCACATTGGGCTCACGATAATATGCTATCAAAGTGAGCATAATATTATTTTCACCACTCTTCACACTTTATCAATCATCCATTTTCCATCAATACACATTTATCTCATAACACAATTCACATTTTCTCATCTCAAATCATATACATATTCATAGTTTGAAAACTCATTTTGGTTTCAATCTCACATCTCAAATCAACCACAATGTTAGGCACTTTCACAATTTGAGCAATTATCAAATGACATGCTTCCACATTCAAGGAATCAATTCTTACATACAAATATTCATAATTATTAATTAACATTCAATTAATAAACATTTATCTAGAGTAAGGTTCCCTCAATTACCTCAAATCTTTAAGAGGTTAAAGTTTTACCCCTAAATATTCTAGCTTCCAGACTTGACTTTCCCAAACCAAAATGGTGGTCAAGAGCTCAATCTACAATTAACCAAGTTAGACTTCATCAACAATGTCAAACTTGCACATTTCAACTCTTATCTTCCACTTTTAAATTTTTCAATCCGTACATTATTTATGTTTGGGCCTACCCATTATGTTTATTAACTCTCTTTAGTCCCCATTAACATTGCCAAGCCATTAAATTCCCATTAATGGCATTACCATTCTTCCAACAACCCTTGTTAATACTAAATTTAGATATTAATGAGGTCTAACAACCAAAGGTATCAAAACTCAATACTTCTATGGTTATCTACTTAAATCTGTCCCATTAACTCTATTTAAGTCAATAGATTCAAACCTATAACCTATATGGACCGAAAATCATCCCCCATTATCAAACCCTAACCAAAAACTTCATAAATGTGAAAGAGAATGAGAGATTAAGGCATATAATACTTATCATTGGTGTTTCTATCTTCTAAAACTTCCCAAATACTCCTTAAATTTGAACCTTAATAGAGCTTGGTCGCTTGTTCTCATTTTCTCCTTCTTTCTCTCTATTTTCTATCTCAGTTTGTGACTAATATTTTACAGAAAAGGGTTGTGTGTCATGGTGCATGCAACATGCGCTGCGGTGCATGACACAGATAGGCACTTCCCAATTCAATGATCATCTGTGTATCACGGCAAATGTGATGTACACTACGGCATGTGCCACATAGACTTTTCTTTACATTTTTCACCTTATTTCAATGCCCGAGTGGCCGTCTTCACTTCAGACCCAAAAATAAGGCTAAAACACAACCAAACACATTAATTAGACCTTCCTGACTACACACCATGTAAGATCACTCAATTATCATAATAAAATTTAATTAATCCCTTAGTAATCTAAATATGAAAATTTGGGATTTTACAATCCCATCTTGTGTAAATTGGGGTTTTTTAGTGGCTAAATATTTGATGATTTGTAGAATTGTTCGATTAAGTATTTGTCGGATGGTAAAGTAGTGATGATACTTCAACTATGTCATGTGGACCTATTTTAGGATAAAATGACCTTTTTGCCCTTTTAGATCATGTGATCTTTTTTTTTATTGTGATGCCATGCTTCTTGTTGTATTATTAATAAGATTTTATACTTTTGTTTGAGCTCAAACCTAAAAAAAGTTTTAAAATGGGATCCCAATTTTTAATATTCAAATCATGAATTTTTATAACCCTTTCTATCATGGTAATCTACAAGATTAATTAATTAATCTAGTTACCATGATGGTGTGAATGTATGGATTGTTTTGGTAATGTCAAGATGGACATTGTAGTAGTTAGTGGAACAAAAATTTTACTCTCAAAATCTCTCTAATTTTGAAGAGAAAATTCAGGGAGAAAATGTAATGAGTCCTATACTTCATTTTCTCATCCACTTTTCTTTCCTTTCACTATTCTTTCCTCATCCAAATATGAAAAACGTTATTTTCTCTCTTGTTTTCTCTCCATGTCTTTTTTGTTCCCATGTTTGGCTTTTATCCAAACAAAACATAAGTATTTAAATGTGCAATGTCGCTTCCAACATTTTTTAAAATGGTACAATATTGTCCTGAACTAAGTAGACGTTGATTGTGCTTAGATGGCATCCACGTCATCTTTTTCTTTCTCCTAAATGAATGTTAAGCCCATCTTTTCTTCTATCATCTTCATCTATCATCACCAATGAACATGAAGCAAATAAAAAGTTTTAGATTCACAATTAACGATTGACATTTCTAGCAGAAGAAATTCATATCCATATTTTACAAAAACTAAAAACCAAAAATAAAAAAGATCCAAAGAGCACGAAGCTTCATCCAACACAATCAATATTCCTAGAACCAACTGCTTGTTTTGTAGTAAGGAAATGGGAAGAGAGTAATGGAAGTGGAAGTAGAACCAACACTTTTGCTTGTTTGAGATGATGGAAGTCAATTCTCTATGGAACCCAATTCCATCAATTCCATACCTAGACTCAAGGAACCGGGTTCCACCTCTCTAAAACTCTACTTGCTGGCCATTTTGACCCAATACCCTCTCTCCCTTAAACAATCTAACCATAATGGTGAAGATGATGGAGGACTATTGACGGTGATCAATTCGACGACAACTCTAGTTCTTGTGGCAGCAACACCAGCTGCTGCTAGACTATTGAGATTGCAAGCACCTGTTTTGTTTGCAAGTAGTGCCTTTTTTATTATTTACCTTTTGGATTTGTTGTTTTGTTCTTATTCTGAGATCCTTCTCCTCTTAAAATTAACTTTTAGATCTGCCACTTTTGAATCACAAGCACTTAATTAGTTTGTGATTAGTTAAACATAAACTTTTAGATCTACCATTTTGTGATTGTTGCTACTACTGATTTTGGTATAGAGAGAGAGATTCATGGAGTCATTTATTAGAAGGACAAGGAAGACAATAATTTTCCTTTTTGTTTTAATTTTAGGGATATTTTAGACTTTTTGACATATAAATATATTTTTTAAATAAAAGTTTTATCTCATTTCCTTGTGCATGCCAAACAAACTTTTAAACCCCATTTCTACCTCCATTCCTACTTCCATTAAAAACAATTCTCTGTACCAAATAGGGCATAAGACTTTCAACCTTAAAACCTTTGAAACTTTGATTTACAACTCAAATGGAGACTAAGATCTTCACAAACTTTAGACCTTGTCACTTATGACCTTTGTGCACACACCAAGACCTTCAACCTTGTGCCTCCATCAAAACCCAAGATTGGTAACTTTTGAATTCCATTGAACGCTAAAGATACAAATATACTGACGACAAGTTTGATGAAGAAGATGATGGAGGCAAGCAAAAAATGAAAGGCAAAGATAATGGATATCTATAAAGTTGTCGATGGTGGATGATGGTCAACTAAAGGAGAAAAAGCAACGACCTGACAGTTAGATCTAGAAGAATGATTTGTAAAGTTGCTGACAATGGATAATGGTCGACGAGGAAGGAGGAGTGATGAGGGATAGATTAACAAAAGAGGAGTGGAGAAGAAGAAGAAGAAGAATGTGGCTGTGGCAAATGAAAAAGGAATTGAGGAGGAGGAGGAGGAAGAGGAGTGAAGAAAAAAGTAGGACCCATATACATTTATTATTTTTATTTTATTTTCTAGAAAAAAGGATGTTGATACCTTAATTGTATGCCAAGGAAACTTTGTAAATGTCTTTCTTCTATGGAATAACATTGTACCATTTTGTAAAATATAGGGACCATTTTGTGCTTTTAAATATTTAAAGATATTAATTAAGTCTTTCTAAAAATAATTGGGATATATTTATACTTTAGTCTTTGTTACTTTAATTTGGTAAGGGCATCATCAAATCTAAAATCAAATCAAAAAATATATAGATTTTATTATAAATGAAAAATAAAATAAATATAATATATTTAACTTGAGATCAACATATATAGCTGGAAAAATTCTTGGAAAAGAGAAGAGAACTAAAGAGAGGAAAAACAAATGGGAGAATCACATTAAAGGACTTGGTAAGAATGATTTTAACAACAATTCATTTTGTATTGATCATTATTTGTGAACATTTTTCTTGACAAGTCCTTAAATGTGATTCTCCTAAAATAAAACTACAAGAAAATACTTTTAAAATGTTAATTAATATATGCTTTTTTATATGCATAACCTTACATTGTTTTTTTTTCTTCTCTTCATTTCTTTTTTCTTTATTTTTTTCTCTACTTTGCATTTCAATACTTGGATCAACTCAACACCAATACATATTCTTTTTCTTATTGACCAACACATATTCTAAACTTTTCATTTTTAAGATATGCAACATTTTTTATTGAATTTTTTTATGGTATTTCACAGCGCATAATGCATATATATCTAGGATTCTTTTATGGAATTATCATGTATAGGCCTAGGGTTGTCTATATCTAATATTTTCTTCCAAATCCTTCTCTTCAAAGTCATCTTCTGCATTTACTAATTCTCTTCTTGTCATCTCAATGCTTTGTTCTGTGCTTGCCAGCTTTTCCTTGATCTTGTTCATTTTTGTTTCCAAAACCCTCAAGTCTTGCTTCAACATGTTCACTTTTTCTACCTTCTCAGCATATCCTCTCATATTTAAAGCAGATTTTACAAGAGGCTCTAGCCACCTCAAGTCTAATCTACTCATCTCAAGTTCCTCCCACAAATGCTGAAGCTCCTTACACGCCTTCTCATTCATATCCTTCCACTTCTTGTTCTTCAAGAATTGTAAAACTCGACCCAATGCAGTAAATGCCCACTCAACAAACTTACGACTTTTCTTTTGCTTACAATCCATCAATGAAGGATGCCATAAACAAGCCTCCTCTAGCAATGGAACCAATTCTTTCTCTATTAGTCCTAAATCCTTGAACTCAGCTGTAGCATCATCCTTTGGGACCAATGCTCGAGTGCCTATAGGGCTTACTTTAGACAATTCAACTTCAACAATGCATTTATCATTCAAAATATAGCCATTAGATGGGTCCTGAAGCCTAGTCAATTCCACATAATATAGAAAACTCCAATGACAAGAATTATTGAACTTGTCTTTTATATCTGCATTAAAGGAACATCAATGAAAGAATAAGATTATAATTCATCCCATTCCAATTTAAAATTATAGTACACTTGTAATAATGATACCTTCACTGTATAATATTTATTCACACTACTGCCAAATAGAAGAAGAATAAACAATGTCAAGGAGCACAGATTCAAACCTCTTTTTTCAGATCTCTCATTGTAAACTTGATTGACCATAGTGAAAGTACAGACTGCATATATACTCCAACCTTGAGGCAAACTCGAAACATCAGCTACATGCAAAATTATAACCAAGTACTTCCCATCTTGTATTCCTTTGTACAACTGAATATTCCTATAAAAAAAATACACACACATGATGAATGAAAATAGATAAAGAAATAAGTGAGGAATTGTATTTATAGAATAAGAGATTTTGATGAAAGTAAGATATGAAAAATATGTGTTTATGATAGATTTCATTCTACCAAGCATAACCGCCGATTATGAAATCCTCAGAAATGTGTGCAGTATTGGTCTTCAATGAACTAAAGTTGCTGATAGTCCATGCTATTTTCTTGTATGTTATATCCTTAGGCTCCTGAATCTTCATTATATAATCAACTTATGATTGATTCCTGCATATAATAAAAATCAAAAGCTCTTCAATTGACATAATAGAATACCAAAAAATAGTTTCATACTTTATTATCACAAATTGGAATTCATTCACACAAGCCAAAGGGTGAATAGGAATTAAAACCAACATGTCAAGGCTAGCAATGAATATGGCAAAACAAAATGTGTTAAAAGTTAGAGGAAGAGGAAATATAAAAGGATTATAATAGAAAAGGAAACAAAGCATGAGAAACAAGAAGATGGATGTTCCTTTCTTATTGCATACAAGGAAGAGATTCCAAGATGCATGTCATTATTCTTGAGACTTAAAATTTTCAAATGCAGAATAGGTACTAAGTAATTCTTTACCAATGCCAATGTTGTCCATTGACTTATATAACCTAAGATTCCATACTAGCATAAACCACCAAATAAAGTCTACACCGAACCAAATTGTTTTTCACAACAACAAAAGTAATATTTTTCTATAGAAAACAATATACTATCTCAAATATAATTTCAAAGGCAATTTTCTTTTAGGAATATGAATCAATTCTAAATTTACAACTCACATGCACATACCAATATAGGGTTTGAGCTTTAGACCTTAAGCTTGAAGGGAGATAGCCTTGTCAGTGAGGCAATTGTAATTACAAATATTTTTACTATCATTTTCCTAATAGTCATGCTTAAGCCAATATTAATTGGATTAAGTTTTTTTAAATTGAATTCTTTATATTCATAGGTTTGAAGAAAAAATGATAGCAAACATCAGCATCATTTGTTTTGAAACTAAAATTACAATTTTAAATTAATTATGATTTTTCATTTTTATTTAAATACATTAAATGTATTTACTTTTTTTTTTGTTTTTTTGGTGAATGTGAATAGTTGAATTGATCAAGTTTTTCTTATAAATGAGCTCAGCATCTAAATCCATTTTCTATATAAACTATCCATGTTTTGGTGCATTGAAATTATCATAAATCAAACTATTTATGACTGATGAAAAACATGACTAGTTATAATTTTTTATGTTGTCTTGTTCATCTCTATCACTAAAACCACCAAGTTTTGCTTCAACCTTTTCATTGTCCCTACCTTCTCACATATCCTTTCATATTTAAAGCAAATTTAACAAGAGGCTCCAGCCACCTCAAGTCTAATCTACTCATCTCAAGTTCCTCCTACAAATGCTAAAGCTCTTCACATGCCTTCTCATTCATATCCTTCCACTTCTTGTTCTTCAAGAATTGCAGAACTTGATTCAATACAGTAAGAATCCACTCAATAAACTTATGACTTCTCTTCTGCTTATAGTCCATTAATAAAGGATGCCATAAACAAGCCTCCTCTAGCAGTAGAACCATTGCTTTCTTTATTAGCTCCAAATCATTAAACTCAGTGATGTCATCCTTTAGGACTAATAATCAAGTGCCTGTAGGGCTTACTTTAGAAAATTCAACTTCAACGATGCATTTATCATTCAAAATATAGCCATTAAATGGGTCCTCAAGTCAAGTCAATTCCATAGAAGATGGATAACCCTAACTATAAACATTATCAAACTTGTGTTCTAAATCTGCATTAAAGGAACACTAATGAAAGATTATGATTACAATTCATCCCATTCCAATTTAAATTTATAGCATACTTGTAATAATGTGGCATTCATAATCTAATATTTATTTACACTAATGCTGAATGGAAGAAGAATAAACAATGTGAAGCAGCATAGAATGATACCTTCTTTTTTAGAACTTTTACTGCAAACTTGATTAATCATGGTGAGAGTGTAAGCTATATATATACTCCAACCTTGATGTAAACTTGAAACATAAGCTAATCCTAAAAACATAATCAAGTACTGTGTTCCTTTGTACAACACAATTTTCCTACAACACACACGCACACGCACACGCACACATAAAAGGACCTAAAAAGATGAAGAAAGAAGTAAGGAATTGTATTTATAGAATATGAGACAAGAGATTTTGATGGAAGCTAGAGACTAAAAATACATGTGTATGATAGATTTCATTCTACCAAGCCTAACCGCTGATCGTGAAAACCTTAAAATGATATGGAGTATTGGTCTTTAATGACCTAAAGTTGCTATAATCCATGTTATTTTCTTGTATGTTATATCCTTAAGCTCTTGACTCTTCATCGGATCATTAACTTATTATCGATGCTTGCATATAATAAAACCAAAAGCCCCTTAATTGACATATATAATTCCAAAAAATAGTTTCATACTTGATTATCACCAAAACAAAATAATTCAAACTTCAAAATTAATTCACACAAGCCTAGCAGTGAATGTGGCAAAAGAAAAATGCATTAAAAGTCAATGGAAGAGGAATTATAATGGGATTGAAAAGGAAAAGAAAACAAATAATGAGAAACAGGAAAATGGATGTTCCTTTCTTGTTACATGAAGAGATTCTATGATGCATATCATTATTCTTGAGACTCAGATATTTAAAATGCAGAGTAGGTATCGAGTAATTCTTTATTAATGCTAATGTTGTCCATTCACTTGCGTAACCCAAGATTCCTCAAAAGCATAAACCACCAAATAAAGAATATACGAACCAAATTGTTTTTCATGACAAAAAAGTAATATAATTCTATAAAAAAATAATATACTATCTCACAGATAATTTGATAGAATTTTTTTAAAAAAAATCAATTATATATTTGCAACTCACCCACACATATAGTGTAGTGTTCAAGCTTTGGATCTTAGGCTTGAAGGGAGGTAGTCTTGTCATTAGGACAACTACAATTAAAAATGTTTCTACAATCATTTCCCTAATAGTTACGCTTAAGCCAATATTAATAGGATTAAGTTTTTTTAATTGAATTCTTTATATTCATTGGTTTGATGAAAGAATGACAGCAAATATAAGCATCATTTGGTTTGAAACTAAAATTTTAATTTTAAATTTATTATGATTTTTCATTTTTCTTTAAATACATTAAATGCATTTATTTTTTGTGAATGTAAATAGTTGAAATGATCAAGTTTTGCTTTAACATGTTCACTTTCTCTACCTTCTCCTTATATCATCTCATATTTAAAGTAGATTTAACAATAGGCTCAAGCCAACTCAACTCTAATCCACTCATCTCAAGTTCTTCCCACAGACATTAAAGTTGATCACACACCTCCTCATTCATCATATCCTTCCACTTCTTGTTTTCTAGAAATTGCAAACTCAACCCCAAGCTTTAAATGCCCACTCTATGAACCTACAACTTCTATTGCTCCTACATTCCAATAATGAAGGATGAGACCAACAAACTTGCTCTAGTAGTGGAACTAATGACTTCTCTATTCTTCCGAAATCCTTGAGATCAACCTCATCTTTTTTTGGATCTACAAGAGCTTTTTTGACTTCTTTGAATGAAGAAGGATAAGAACGGTAATTTGTTGGCTTATTAATGCCTTCAGATCTTATCAATTAGATTTCAACTTCAGCAATACATTCATCCTTTGAAATATACCTACTAGATGGGTCTTGAAGTTGACTCAAGGGCAAGAAAATATGGTAATCTTGATCATGAATATCTGCACAAATCTTAACGAGTAGACCTACATCTAAAACCAGGAATAAGGGCCTGACCTAAAGAGCCGGGCCTATAGGCCTTGTTTAAATAAGGATTAGGGCTTTAGAAATTAAATTTTTCTTAAAGTAACTAGGCTTGAGGGTCTGGCCCTAATAAGCCCTGTGAAAAAGGGCTCGAGTCCAAGTGGCCTTTCAAGCTCTGATAAGCCAAGTTATCTTATATACATATACACACATACATACATATATTTGACTGACAATGACACAATTTGGTTAATATTTATTGTAGATGAGGAAAAAAAAGTTGCAAAGATAATTGACATTAAATCTCCACTTCCATCTTCAACAAGTGAACATACATCTTAGGGATCTAATATTTTATTTTTAAATGATGAGGAGGAGGATTTATATTTACATTTACATTGATGAAGATTTTATTCATCTTAAATTTTAAATTTTAAATCCTTGTTAAATTTTATGTAAGACTTTAATTTATTTTATGTTCAATTTTAGAATATTCTATGTTTAGATTAAATTGTTAGATTTTTGTAGGAAAGAGGGCTTAAAGGCCTTGCCTTAAGCCTTGTAAATAAGGGTTAGACTTCAAAATTACGTCAAATTTTAGATAACCGAGCTTTAGGGCTTGAACCCGTAAGAGCTAGGGCCATAAGGGCTAAGCCCACCCTGATTCCCACCTCTACCTACATCTACATATCATTCACTCAAACATACATCAAATCAAATTGGGATTGCAAGAAAATAAAAAATAATATATGCTCACAACTTCACTTAATAATAATGAATAAATATGAGAAGAAATCTATTTTAACATATTTTTCCTTGGAAACTTGATTGAGCACAGTTATGGCCTAATTTGCATATATACTCCACCCTTGAGCAAACTTGAAGTACCAGCTATACACAAATACATTGTTAAAGACTTCTTATCTTGTCATCCTCTATATGCAGTAACTTTCTTGCAACAATTCTCCCAACCCCCATAAAACAATGTTTACATATAATTTTGGCCAAATTTAGAAAATCCTCATTATCATTGATATAACTAAAAAGAAATATGACAATAGATGAAAAAGTAGAGAAGAAAGAAATGAGGAATTGTTGCATTTATCAAAAAAGATATTCTTAAGAAAACAAGAGATAAAGGATGTGCAAGATAGATTTCAATTACCAAGCACGATTGCTTATAGTGAAAACCTCAGAATAATATGGTGTATTGATCTTTAAAGTGCTGAAATTTCTAATAGACCATGCTATTTTATTGCATAATATATCCTTTAGTTCTTGATCCTTCATCCTATAATCACCTTATATATGTATCTAATCAAACTTGAAAATCATTAATGTATAAGACAAGAATTAACTTGAAGCTTAGAGTATAGGAACCAATAGGGCCAAATTT